ACTAGCTGTGCCCGCGACTTCGTTCGCGTAGAATAGTGACTATGAGCAGCGTTTTTTTTTTAAATATATACTTATTTTTATTTTAGATTTGGATCATAATCACAGTCATTTTGGGTAGCTAAAAAACCTACTTTACTGTAATGCTTCTCTATATACAATATTAGACGTATGGCCATCGGCGGTGAAAGCATACAGGCTGCTGGGATTGCTAACACGGGACAGAGCCACATACAATTGACCGTGCGAAAAACAGCTGATACTTAGATCTATACCCACAACTTTTAAAGTCTGACCTTGAGCTTTATTAATTGTCATGGCGAAACATAGGCTCACTGGAAACTGAATTCGTTTAAAATTAAACGGAAAATTTTTTGCAATGAGAGAAATCTGAGGAATAAAACCACTATCACCTTTTCCGCACCCTATTAAAAATATACATATATATTTATATATAATAGATATAGATAGATGTATGTATAAGCATAGAATAGTGTTCGACGTGATTCTTTAATTTGACATAACTTTTTTATTTATGAACCGATTTACATGAAACAAACACTAAAGCATAACTGAAGCATACCACAATATATTCATGAAAACCGCATCCAACTCGGATCAGCCGTTTCTGAGATTAGCGTGAACAGACAAACAGACAAACAGACAAAAAAAAAGTTAGTTACATTTTTGGGTTCGACATCGACATAACAATAGCCCCTGCTATTTTTTTTATTTTTATTTTCAATGTACAGACAGCACTTTTCAACAATTTTATTATATGTATAGATAACAATATTCTCATGCCCCTATACATACACATGGCATATCGAATTAGTCACTTGATTATTTTAATCAATTTACATAATAGATACAAATACAATTGTTTTAAAAAATATTTTACTTTTAATCAATTTACATTAAAAAAAACTACGTAGTCGTGTTTGTTTTAATTTTTTTCATAACTAAAGTCGTTTACGGGGCGCATTTTGCTGTTTCTATTGTACAAAATTCAAATGCAAGTTCAAAATCATGGAAAATTACTAAATATCTTACCTACTAATATCTATATCTATCTACTCTTTGTTAATAATAAAATCGTAGGAAAGTGAAAATGGTCCATTTAATATTTTTTATAAGAATAGATGAGGCGTGTTCTACAATCGATATCGAAGCCAAAAATATGGTTTTTAGAATTCTTGTCTTTTTGTCTGTATGTATGTCCGGGTTAAACTCAAATATATGGATTTACTTCAAATTTTGCATGAATATTACTAACAGGTCGGTACAGCATAGAGGTATAGATTACAATATATTTTCACGCTACCATTTACGGGAGAGGAGCTGTGAATCACTATTCCACGCGGACGAAGTCGCGGGCTCAGCTAGTTAGTTACCTATAAATGCGAAAGTTTATGAGTCTGTGTGTTCGTTACCATATCATGTCAAAACGGATGAAGGGATCGGAATGAAACTTGGTACACGGGGAGGTTATGATCTGGAACAACACACATCTTAATTGCTTGTAAAATATCTGCTCAATGCCCTGCCTGGCAGATGGTTTTTAATGCAGCCTTGATATATTTACTGCATGACTTTAAATCAAGGTAATTCCGTAATAACCGTAATAAGTGTAAAAAACACTACTACATGTCTCTCACAGAACGAGGTTAACCTCCTTGTATATGGGACTCATAACATAATTGGCTAGTTTCCTAGGTTTAAAATAGATTGTTTCAACTTTTTAATGCAATAAAAAATTAAAAAATAATCATACTTTCATTCACTGATTTGACAGTTTACCTACTTTTGGATTTTTTCTCAATAATTTTTAAGAAAATAAGTATGCTATTTGACACAGAAAATGATGACGTCATAAGTTGCATTCTAACAAAAAATTAATAGAAAAGTATCGTTTTTGACATTTCAATATAAGTATTGAATTTAACTACCTGTCAACTACCGTATTGAAGAAAACTGCATGTTACATTGTATGTACCTTGTGAAGTTTCAACGATACGTCACGAGTGACATAAGTAAAATGTCGCGCATAGACGATACAGTGGTCAGAGGTTATAAAAAATGACG